TGTTAGCCAGCCAAATAGTCCTGTGAGTAGTCTTTGAAAAGGTGCTTTAATATGAAGAAAGGTCCCTCGAAAACAGTAACCGGATATACTTCAGATACCCTTTTGGCTTCACTTTAAAGGCCTGTTGGACTGTTCTTTAGGACAACAAACCTGGAACAACAAACTCAAGAAAGGAAAAGCTCAGCAAAGTGTCAACAGACAGCTGTGCACTCTCACGGGAGTCCACGCATTACTAATACTGCCGCGTTCAACTCAAATGTCAGCGGTCATTTTATGGAAAACACACCTGTTTTATAATTATTTGTATTCTTTGGCGGAGCCAACAGGTACAGTAACAGCTCGCAGCATCGGCGCAACGTCTAATACGTTTCCTAGCAGAATTATTCTGTTTCACTCACCAGAGGATCTGGATCTGACTTATAAATCAAACAACAACGAAGCACCTTAGGGCAGCGACTATTGGGATTTTTAAAACATAAATGTATTGTCAACACAGACGCACGTCCAGACAACGTCACCTCACAGTAAGAAGAATCAGACAATTTACAGGCAGCTACCACGGAACAGATGTATGATCAACAAAATCCCTCGTTGAGGAACGACGGGATCATGGTTATGATTACAATCCCATCCATATTTGTCACAAAACTAGATTTACGTGGCCTACTTAGTTTATAATAACTCAATTTCTTATTTCAGCGTAATGCACTATTAAATAGTTTGGTGGTCATTTAAAGTATTTCTGTTTGATCCGACCATCAGCGATCATTAGAAAAAAAATATTAAAATTGAACGATTGTTTCAACTTAACATTTGCTGATTCTTTCTTCTCAAATGTAAACATAGTTTCTGTCTTTTCCTTTCAACCTATGAACGCTACTCCACCTGACCTGCAGTAACTCCATTCTTCCCACCCCCGCCACCTGACCAAACCCCCCCAGATGCTCGCCCATCTGCACTCTCAAATGTTCAGTCTTGGTTTTACCTGCTTGTGTCATGCTGTTTGACAACAGATCAGCTTTTGACTCTGTACCCAGTTTTGTGAACTTTAGTTGACACCTTTTGGATTAAAGCTCGCCGTTCTACTGAGCTGACGGATGGAGTAATTTATCTTTTACTAAAGAATCCCTTAAATTACAATAAAAATCCCCGTCAGTGTGGTTCTGACAGAATCTAATCCCCAGTTTCATCACCCTGACCCATCAGAGCAGAGCTCCAGTTCAACTGAAGACTCAGCGATTCCACAGAACTTTAATTTGAAACAAGACAACTAGGCTTACGTCAATAATGGTTGTTTTTGAAATTTTCCCTAATACCTGGCAACCACAGTATTGTTAACGTTAGAGGAAGATTGTGGTCACGGTAAAAAAAAAAGAGAACGCAGCAAAAATTGAGTTATTCCAGGTCTGTGACGAGCCGTGAACTCCATTCTCCTGCATGAACGGTCGATGCACGACACGCCCGTCAACCACAGTGACCCCAACACCCTAAAGTCTCCGATTCACTGTTCTTCTGGATGGAATGTTGGTGTTGGACGTAAATCTGCAGATGCCAAAATCTCCCAACGCCGTCCTTTTGTCGCTTCCTGGGAGTGACGGGCTGAGATCCGACTGGTGTTCTGAGGAGCCGGATGGACAATAATGACCCGAGGTCACTGAGATCCGAGCCTGCAAGGTGCACTCATCCACCCCCGGCTGGCTGCAGTCAGGGAATGGAGGAGACCCCGGCAGCTGCAGGGGCCGCGTTGAGTAAAGCGAACGTTCAACCTGTCGACAACTTCTCCATAATTCAATAAGTCAAGGTGGAGGACCATTCCTGCGAGGCCACAGCAGCTCCGTAAATAGCTGTCTAGCGTGATGAGTGTTTTTCTTGCCAGGGTAATCTTGGTTGCTCTCTCTCAACAAGCCTGGGAACATAATTGAAAACACGAACGTGAAGAAACACAAGTATCACTGACACAAGGAATGTGTCTTTGTCCCGGACGGTTACGTTTTCACTGTCCTGTTTTAACACGTTCCAAGAATCTCTCTGAGACCGTCTGCAGGTCAACGCGTTCGACAATGCGCCCCTTGTTCCACTATCTTTAAAATGAAATAATTCATCGCTGTTTTCACGAGCGGTGACAATGTGTCTCATATGGAAAAACTGCTCCGCCTGTGTGCCGCGAAGCCAAACATTTATTCAAGATTTTTTGACCCGATTGTGCTGTTGTCTTTTCAATGATTCAGCTTTTAAATGTTGATGCATTCTGCCAACAGGGGGGGGGGGCCCTCGATGTTATGAATGTCAAAAGTTCCTTTGAGTCTTTATTAAGTTTTACTATGTTAAAATATTAGCAAAAGCAAATCACACAGCAGTGTAGACAGTAGTGAAGGACTTTGACGAACCTACCGCAGACTCTTGCTTCAATTTCCTCTTCGGATTCCTTCTTTTTGTCAAAGAAAAGCAGCGTTTCAACTTTCCCACCGTCTCCCCTCAATACATCTGCCCCACTCCAATTGTGACTTAAGTCTCTGCTGGTCGCCGGCCAGCATGTTAACTCCATCTAAATCAATGGATTAACAATTTAGCCCAACTCCAAGCACACAACTCCCCCTCTCTCTCTCCCTTTGACTCACACACACTCACGCACACCCACGCACACCCACGCAAACACACACACACACACCCCACCGCCGCCGCCGCTGCTAATCTTCAGGAGCTGACCTCGGCCAACAAATGACCAAATTCACACAAGCCGAAGACCCGCCCCCCAACGACCATGCGGTCTTTTCCTTTCTTCCCTGCCCATGAGAAGCTCCTATTGAAGCAGCCAGCCACACTTGTTGAGATTGCGCCGACTGATCCCCGAGTGCCTCCCCTGTTAAACGAACCCTCGCCATCCTTCGGGGGCTCCATTTAGTTGGCTCGCGACAATAACAGCAAGGGTGGGAATCCAGCTTAAGCAAACAGCAACCTCGGGTTTGTAGCAGGGATTACTGGCTCCCCGAGCCCATATTCCCACACCGAATTTGTTGGGGAATGAACCAGTGGCCTTTTCCGTGTCCTCCCTTTGTGGGGCGGCGGCGATGGTTTTTCGCGGCCCCTTGTTGTTTAGCAGCAGGCAGCGCTGGTTGTGAAGCCGTGAGCTCAGCGTTACCGTTGAACCCGCGCCAAAGCGTCTGGGACGGTCCGAGCGGGCAACGTGCAGCTGGGGGGGGTGGGGGCGCAAGGCCGCTCGCACAAACCGTGCTGTCACACCCTTAGTCATTCCTCATGTCGGTCACTCCGAGCTCCCGCCAAGCCGACCGCAGACATAGTTTAGTTAAGAGGATGCGCGTTAGCATCGATCTTTCCCCACGTTTCACTGATGTCCTCTGCAGTCTGCTGCGCACGTGTTCCTCGGGCTACAGAACTTTAGTTTTGAGATATTTTCATGTTTAGCATAGATCACATCACGGCAAAGCCGCGTGCCTCTCATTAAAGGTGGAATGGGATTCCAACAATGCCACATGTGACATAAGCAGACTTTATAACTGTGAATTAAGGGGTTACAGATTACCTTTGCAGGCAGCACGTGTAGCTATTGTGCACATTTCTCAAAAAAAGTGTCGGAGAAACAACTTGGAGACGATATTGTATAATTCCACGTATCTGTAAAATCACTTCTGTGTTTGGAATCTTGATTCTCTGTGCAGCAACAACACACCGTTTGCCTGCTGACGCACCGTGTTTCATATTCACCTGCTGTGGCCTGAGGTGAATACTGGGTGACTGTGTCAATTAATCATTATACAAATTAGAAATTAACAAATGGAACAGTCTCTACACACCGGTCCAGAATGACTGTTTAGACTTTCAGTGGAAATTGCCGACCTTTGAAGTATGTTTTAGGTGACGGTGGAGATTGTTCAAAGAGAATCCATCAAGTTTGTTAAATAATAAAAACCTGCCATTTGTTGGTATATAAGCACGACTCGACCTGATAATCTTTGTGTGGGGTGAATTGATGGGTTAAGCACTGGACTTAGTAGCAGGCGACTGAAGTCAAAGAGTGATTTGATATTACGCAGGATTACGCAGTTATTTTAACCCTAACGTTTCCTCCACAAAGGGCCTGTAACTTATTTCGGCGAGATCCCTTTTGCAAAATCTGATGTTCAATTAGAAGCGTGGAAAGCAGAACCACAAACATACAAAAGTCCGTCGCCGCGAAATCCTGTTTTAGAAAATTAATCTTTCTCATTACGTCACGAAACATTCCCCTGATTTTGTTTTGAAAAATGGATCTTGCTTATTACGTCCCGAAAAACTCCCCTGATTTTGTTTTAGAAAATAAATCCGTCTTATTACGTCAGAAAACATTCCCCTTATTTTGATACCTACAAAGGGCAACAGGTTTAACCCCGCCCCCCCCCACCATGCCGTCCACACGCCCAGGTCTCATGTCGGCGACCTCTGCAGCATCACCCGGCGGCCCGTCCCCGTCTCATCTCCCCTCGTTCTGCATTCTCCGGGTCAGAGGCGCCCGGTCTCGCCGCGGTGCCGTGTGTCCTAATCACATAAGCACCCGGGATAATCCGCGGGACAGCTGGGGAATCTTTACTGCACAACTGAAGCATGAGCTGGACGGCAGCGTCATGAGCCATCTCTGTAACCCCCCCCCCCCCCCCTGTACCCTCACACCCCCCCCCCCCACTCTTTCATCACCCTCCCGTTGTAATCCCCCCAACACACACACACACACACACATGCGGTCAACGCGACTACATGTTTGTTTCCTCGCAGACACCAATGAGGGGTCGGAGGTCAGCGCAGCTGCTGATGGAAACTTCCGCGTCCTCCTCGGTTCACTTTTGCGCAACCGAAAACAACAGCGGTTAATACTTTCATGCATCCCTGATGCACAAAACAGGTGGTGACCTGGTTGAAGGAAATATCTTCTTCGCAATTACAAATGACATTTAATGCTGCGTAGTTATGGTGTCGAGTGTCCACTCAGCCGTCTCCAAAGTACTTACTGTCCGAGTGGATTGATGGACCGAGGCCATCGCCTACATCCTACTGGAGATACATGAAGACACTCTGGGACATCGAGGAACTGTTTTCCTCCACGCGGTCTCTGCTAGAGCAGTTAGCGCATCCGCCTCCTCGGAGATTCTAATGAATAATGGAGTAATAGGTGGAATTTCCTCCAGAATGGCGAATGTTTCTAACCCCGCACCTCCGCCCGGCGAGCGCTCCGGCTCTCCCGGTGCAGCAGGAGTGCCAAAAAAACCCAGGCGTCCACGCAGCTCTATGTTTATCCCATCGTCCTTGCTATGGGGTCTCTGGGGGCTCACCCCCCCCCCCACCCTGTCCCAGCATGTTTGCCAATGAAAGAAACACATGCTCCACTATTATTTATAGAATCATTTCGTTGTTTATTATTCTATTTTTCCAGATGTCAACTGAGGTCCGCTCCGATTTTGAGCGATTTATTGGAGGATATTGAATGTTTCATGAGGACATGGTTTGGGGGGCAAAGCATAATAAGAGAAGAGCTGTTTGAGAAACGAGCTTTGTCATGTGAAGCTGACATTTTTATGATTGCGAGCGAGCGTTGAAAAGCTCCTGAGCCGGTTATCATCATCATCATCATCATCATCATCATCATCCGCGGCGTGTTTGTGTGGAGGCCTCGGACATCGGTCAGTGAGACCGAAAAAAAAACAGAACAAATACTGATAGTTTTCACAGTGCTTGTATCACAAGACATGCTTAAGATACATTACATTTCAATGTGCCTCCTGGCGTTTCATCTTTAAGCTGTTGCCCTGTAATCTGAACTGAAGCGATTATTGAGTACATAAACTAAATGTATCTGTGTGTCACTAGACCGACAGTCGGCATGCTGATTCTAACAAAGTAATCGTTGTTTCAATAGCAGATTCTCCCCCCAGATGCTGCGTACATACAGTACAGTATGTATTTTTCCCTCCGCGCGGTACATTTCTTTGGTTTCGCTCCCGTTCGGAGGGATGCTGAGCTCACATGTTTTTCCAGGCGTGAGGGACGAGCGGGGGCTTTGACAGGTACTTAACAACAATCAAAAACAGTCATAAACAGGGTGAGCTGTTGGGCAGGGCGCAGGAAGGAGGCGAGGAAGGCACGCATAGCCTTCAGACCCCTATCACACTTTCCAGAGAGGAACTCGCCTTTTGCCAATACGCTGAGAAAAAAAAATCCTCGAATCTGTGAGACCTGCGGCATGAGTGAAGGGGACAAACGCTTCACCCAGAGAGACGCTGAGGAGCTCTTGCTTTGATTCTCATTAATTGTCCTCAAGTCTTTTTAGATCTCGTTGTTTTGTTTTTCAAGGACTCGACACTGAATGAAAACGGAGCTGTCACTTTAAAAAGAAAAGGATTCTTTTGCACAAAAAGTTTGAACTCGCAGCCAATACAAAATGTGTTCATCTATCTGGTGCTGAGTTCAGATGCAGGATTGTGCTCCGGTGCAAAAAATTGATTGTACGGATGTGATGAGGATAACGCACCATGAGCAGGACGCCATCGGTCGGCTTGACATCTTTGCAGAGGCCCGTGAGGCCGTCCGTCCCGGTGGAAAGTCAGGAAGCTTACAGGTAAAATAATCTGAGTTTTAAAGTCTACAAAACGTTGCTTGGAAGCGTATTTTTGACAGAGCATCAAGCGCATCGTCATCCATCACATATGTGAGCGTTACTTAGTTTCTCTATTACTCTCCTCGTATACGCCGATGAACTAAACGCCTCGACGTCTTCGTCCAGACCTCGATGAGCGCTCCTCAGGGCAGGAGCACACACACACACACACACACACACACACATCCTGTGCAGTGGGGTGATGCTGGAATAACAAATCCTGTGCCACTTTCACCAATTCAACAACCATCTCAATATCCACTCCGACGGTGGGAATGGGAGGTGGTTAGAAGCAGGAGGGGGGGATGGGGGGGTCAGTCTAGCGTCTAGCTGATTTTTCTTTTTTTTTCTTCTTTTCTACCTTTTCGCTTCTTTTTTTTTTTGACTACGTGCTTTAGTTGCACCCACTTCCTTCATGGTAACAGCTGTCAAAACGTTGTCGGATTACAGCGCACCGCAAAGTCACAGCTCACTGGACAGGAAGGCCAGAGGGGTCCGGCAAGCGGGGTTACATTAAAAGCTTCTCACTAGGACCCGGGGGGGTGAATACCAAACGCCAAGAGGGTGCTACTCCTGCGCCGCTAATTTAGGTACACGCGTCAGGGATGTCGAGGGCTTTCCCACTGATGTTTTAGCTCTTAGAACAGATACACTCCGTGATTGCGTGTTGTTTCCCCAACCGGACGTGGCGTTCCTATTCTCAGCCTGGGATCACAAAGCCCCCGGCTCTCTTGGATTACTCGACCTTCGGGGTTCGCAAGATGAGGCAGCGAGATATTGGCAAGATTGTTGAGAGAGAAAACTCCCTGACATCTCAGCTCCTCTGCTGAGGGAATTAGGGCCTGTTGGAATAATATCAGCTCAGCAGGGTGATTCTCACGCCGTGAGGCCGAGACAGAGATGTGCATATGCGGCCCTGATGAGTTTCATAGCGACTTTGTTTGACGTGGTGGTAAAAGCATCACTGCCGTGGGGCCGCGTGGTGTGATATGACGGCGGCATCAATAATCAGTTTAGCAAAGTGAGGGCGAACCTGCATGAAACTGAAAATCCATATCATTCTGTCAAGAGCTAAAAAAGAAAAAGGTGTCGCCACATGTCCTAAAATCAAAAAGGACATAACTGGTTTTAAAGGCAGTATTGTATTGTTTTTGTAGATTTAGAGTCTAAATTACAATACAGGTCATTTAGCAGACGCTTTTATCCAAAGCGACTTACATTACACTTTAAACCCATGGCTTTTACACATTTTTGCCCGGGGAGCAATTAGGGGTTAGGTGTCTTGCTCAGGGACATTTGGAACGCCTGGAATCAAACCACCAACCTTGTGCTTCCCAGCACACCTTCTCTAACCCCTGCGCCACGACGACCCCAGTCTAAATGGTGTTATACACTGTATAACAGATATAAAACGGACAAAAGCAGCAAAAAAAATCTTCAATTTGAGGAGGTATGTGAAAAGTAATTCAAACAACAGTTTAATTTCCTTTTATTTTAGTCAATTAACCAATGTATTAATCGTCTTGCTAAGCGCCGCACATCCGCGTTAAATCCCAAACCATTTTAAAACCTCCAATCAGATCCCTTATTTCATTTTGTATTATATCGTACTGCATTACTTAATAGTTAATTAAAATAGTGCAACTGAAGAACGAAACCACACATGGAATAATTTAAAAATTCATTTATTATTTCAGATTTTTTTCGCCTTTGTTATACAAAGATGTTAAATAACTTAAATACATTCTTACCAGTCATTTGTGATCTGTTTATACCTACAAGCTATACACATGAGGTAGAGGAAAATAATTTAGAGTTCCCATAAGACAAGAATACGTGAACATGGACAAAACTTTGCTGGTGTAGTATCATCACAACGGACAATACATAGTTTGTGTTTTATCTTTGTTTTACAAGCACAGCACAAATCCTAACAAAAAGTACATGTACATGTAAAGTGATCCAAAGGTGAGTATAAACTAGTTTACGCTGATGCAATCATGCGTTTATACTGCATCGTATGGCGATAACCAACATTACAGAGGCATTTAAAAAAAAAGTTGATTATACAAAACAGAACAACATATTGTCGATGACTGTGATTTTGTTGGAATACTCTCAAAAGAAACGTGTGATCGTGCGCATGAATAAAAGGCCGCTAGGAGGTGAGTCGATTCTAAAATTTGTTAGGATTTGTTAGTGCTTAGATAACCGAGAACGATGAGATATGAAATATGCTTAAAGTATACGCTGGCTTCTCGAAGCCTCCACCCCAAAAAACACCCGAAAGAAAAACAGAGTAAAAAATACAGGATATAAAATCAATTTAGACTTTGACGTTATTTACACTAAACACTCATAATATATTTAAAAATAATTTATCTTTTAATTTTTTTCTCTACAAAAAAAAATAATACAAAATTTTGTACATGATCCACTGACGACTCAACAGTGCAACAGTTTTGGATTTGAGAAAATGTGGACGGCCGTGACGTCTCGGGGCCGACCGGCTGCTGCGTCACGCTCCGTCCTCGGGAGGAATTTGAAAGGCCCATATGTACAACCTATAAACAAACAGAAAGGCACTGATCTGAATCTGCTCGATGGAAGAGAACCTCAGTGCGTTTGGGCCGAGGTGCGTATGTGTGTGTGCGAGTTTTGGCTAACACACACACACACACACACACACACACAAAAGTTGTGGTGAGCTGGCATTTGTGCTTCAGGTCTCAGCATAGCTATTATGGTTTCCCTGTAGCGTGCAAAGTTCTATGTATACGTTTTGACCAGTCTTTATTTGGCATGCCTCCTCGTATCAAAATGCTAGGAATTTATCTCCTCCGGACAAATGAGCCAAAAGCACGACCCGCCTGACGAGGACGCCGCTCGCGTTTCAAATCTATTCATCTCTACTGATAAAAGCATCTGTTAAAAAAAAAAAAGGATGGGAAAAGGATGTTTGGCAACGGTGCTGCGTCGCCGATTACAGTCCGTAACCATCGTGTTGCAGCAGCTGTGGGCCGTTTCCAAAAATGTCGTTTTGTGTTGCTACCGATTTGCCAAAGAGTTGCTCGCGAGGGTTGAACACGTGCCTCACTTTTGTCTTTAAACCACAGGAGAAGAAACTTGCAATTTTTTCCTTTTTCTAAAGTAGCAAAAAGCTGAACTGCATTGTATTTATGAATGCAATTCTTAAATGACTTTAAAAAAGGGCTTTTGGGCTTCAGTGCGTGAATGGCGCTATAATACAAAGCCGGGTCCCTCACTCAGTAGTTAAATTCACACCCATCTAAAAAAAGTCATAACTTATAGCATGTAACAAAATGTTCCCACAATACAATGACATAATATTGTCTGCATGGTGTGTGTGTGTTCAGAGACATTTCTCTTCAAATTTAACATTTGATTGCATGTTTTCCTAAAGGAATGGATTGACATTTATTTTTTCAGTTGCTGATGGTTCAATTAAACAATACCACACATCAATGTTGCTCAGTCAGACTGGAAACAGCGAACCAAAACCTGCCCACCAGCATCCCTAAAGTTCACCCATTAGCACGTTATATTCTAGTCAAACGCGTGAGTAGCATCAGTAATCCTGACTCACTGACGTCTGAATGGAGACAACTCATTTTGCAAAACCCCAACATTTGCATTTGGCCAGCAATTTGCCGAACTTTACACAAATGTTAGTCTTGCAAAACGTGTTTATATTAACTAAAGCACATTCGTCCTCACTTGAGCGAATCTGCAGAGGCGTCAAGTTCGATTTTCGTCTGGGTCGAACGGTTTGGCCTGACCGGTGCAGCTCCCACTGTACATGTCTACACGTGTGGAATATGGCTCAATCAAATGGTGGCAGCTGAGGAGGAGAGAGGGATGTGAAATGGTTGTGGGGGGGGTACATTCCTCCAGTTCTCCATGGCTTTCTTTACAAATTCAAAGTATCAAAAGCTACACAAAACAAAACGATTTAAACTGCAGAGCTCAGGATATTTCTGATGTGTGTCGAGCGATCTCCTGCTGCAGCGACGTCGGCTGTCATAACAACGCCGCTGTCACCTCCAACTTGGATATTAGTTGTCTTTGCACTATTTCTCTCCTATTCTACCCAAATTGTTATAGTGGTTTAAGTTATTCCCTGAACGCTGGTTCGCTCAAGGCAGAGAATAGCCTAAACTGAATGGTTTAGTTATTTTTACTGCATTTACTAACAGCTTTATATTATAGTATTACCGGAGAAATAGTAAAAATATATATCATTTCTTTCTCCCTGTGAAGGAGTAGTCCCAAGAGGATCTATAAATTATCCACAGCAAGACGACGGACGTGTGCTGCTTTCCAAAGGGCCTCGTCAACATGAATCAAGGAGAAAAACGAGCGAGAGCACACAAACAACAAAACATTTGTGTGGTTAGTGGTTTGTTTTTAACATAGTTAGATAAGTGGCTTATATAATATTACAATATAACTGAATTCATTCATGTACATATGCAAACACACGATGTGTGTGGGTGTAAATGTGTGCGTGTAAAGTAAATCTTACACCCGGTCTTTTTTTTTTCTTTTTAGCAAGTCTCTGAATATGGTTTTCTTTGCCATAATAGTCGTCATACAAAGCCCCCCCCCCCTCTATGCCCATCGCGCGCTCCTGTAAAAAACACACACATGTAAAGAATCACACACACACAGAACCCTGTCTGTCGGTGTGTCTGATCCTCATCAGCTGGACGCTGATCTCTGACCTCTTTGAGAAAAGATGCATTTGGATTTATTTTAAAATAGGGGGGGAAAATAAAAAGTGTCTCTCTTCAAGGCATCGCTGGGATTTTGCGAAATTGAAAATAAAAAAATATAAAAAGCTTGAGATGTTGCCCCAGTTGTCTGAGAAGGTTCTTGGATCTGCGTGCGGCCACGCGGGACCTCCGAAAAGTCCGAAACCACAGAAATCCCCTCAAAGTGCTTGTTGCTTCGGAATCGGGCTCGCTCCTCGTTCGTGTCGTCGGGAACAAAGCAACCGCTCCTCCTCGACGCCGCCGCCGTCCCCCCCCGCGCGCTCGCCCCCACGTTTACCCTTTGCAGGTATACACCTCCTCCCTCTGCGTGCACTGCTTGCATTCCACGTAGCAGCACCAGCGCACCTGGCACTGGCACGGCCGGGTCACCTCGCTGCTCTGCGTGTTGTGGCCCCGCCCGCAGCAGATGGCGTCGCAGTTCTTGTCCTTGTAGCACTTGCGGGCCGTCGTGCCCGCCGAGTACTTGCTGGGTCGACAGAAACTGGGCGAGTCCTCGATGTGGCGCAGGTCCATCGTACGAGGGGTCTGATCGCTCGGGCCGGGCTGCTGCTGCTGTGGCGGTTGTTGTTGTTGTTGTTGTTGTTGTTGCTGCTGCTGTTGTTGTTGTTCCCGGCCTGTAGAGATCTCCCCCTCCCCCGTGGCCTCATTGGTGGAGCTGCCCACCTTGATGGAGGTCTCGTAGCGCTGCTTCAGCTGCTTGCCGATCTCGTGGAAGGGCTGGAGCTGCCTCCAGCAGGTCTGCACGGTGCAGGAGCCGGAGACGCCGTGGCACTTGCAAGTGGTCTCCACCCCGGCCTTGATCACCTGGGACATGAAAAAGGAATGCGATGAAAAGCCGTGTGATCTAATGGCCCTTTTGTTTAGTAAGCAGCATTTCAAAAGGGACAATTTACCCAAATAAGCTCATAATTGGACCAGATGGCAAATTAGTGACTTGGCTGATCTCTTTGATATGAACAATAAAAAACAGGGAGAAACAGAGGCTTCACATATTGCATGTGAACTATAATTAACATCATTCAGAAGGAGAACAATATTGCACTTTGTCTAAGCCTGCGTAAAGATGAGCAATGTAATATTGGCTTCTTTTTTAATGATAACCACAGACAACAAGTCTTGTTAACTAAACAAGTTGATAAACCTGTTATTTTACAGGTAATAAGTCATGGGGAACGTTAGAGGGAGATTAGTTAAGACATCTATACATAAAATTGTAGAATTGGTAGTGAAACATTAAGAGCGTCGGGGAAAGTGACCACAAACGCGTTATTTTATTGCTGCTTGACCTCTTCGCAGTCAGCCAAAGTCCACTTCAGCCCCAACCGCAGAGTGAAAGCAGCGAATGTGCGAAAACCAATGACAAAAACACATTGTCTAAGAGTTTGGATAAAATCAACAGTCCTTTTCTCAGACTGTAAAAGAGATCGGGGAACAGGAAGCGCATATTCATCACACCAGCAGGTCAAGCAAATTTTGATAGGTCAGCTTTTCAAAATATCGAGGGGACGCAGAGGCTCGCACATTCCAGCTCGGTCCTGCGTGTGGGAATTCACCCCGAAGAACCGCGATATACCTCACTACAAAAAAAAAGGAAAAATCACAAGGAAGACCAAAAAGCAACGTCGTAAATCTTCGATCACAAATTAAACCTCCAAAGAGTTTGGAGAGCCAAGCTGAAAAGGAAGAGCCTGCGCGGGTCTTTTGGGAGACGTTTGTGTCGGCTAACATTTGGGACGTGTGCTTCTGCTATAATTCATTTCGAAACCAAACTGGAAATGGTTACAAAATGAGAAGGACGAGCGAAAGAAACATATTCCAGAGAAAACGTCTGCATGACAAAAAAAAAAAAAAACAGCCCATTCCCTTTTTTATTTTACTATTAAAAACACTTCCAACATGAAAAAGCAATATTTGATAGCCGCAAACAGTCAATGAATTGTGCCGGAGCACAATGGCGAGATACTGCCTATCTAATCTGGGTAAGAAAATCAAATATTGACTAATGAGTACTTTTATATTGCACCAAATGTACAGTGGCAATTACTTCAGTCACTTTAGTTGTGTTATGTGACAGCAGTCATTTAGCAGCGCTTTAATATTTAAACTCCGGCATTTCAAAAAGAAAAACCAAAGATATGCTAGTTCAGTATATATGGGATAAGACGAAATGACTTGGCGCTTTGTCTACATGATTGCATTATATTATCACAGTTTTCCCACCGTTTACCTGATTGAAGTCAGCAGCCAGCGTTTCTGTTTGAATTCTATCTGTGATTCCAAATGAACTCTGACCTCGGCCATTTTTGAGTGTGTTTCGTGAAACATACTTTAATAAAAGGCAGATCAACATGACAGTGGGTGAAAAGATACCGCTGAATTATTATCAAAACATATTTTCCTTCTTTCAAATCAACCTCCCTTAAGTTTAACATCCCTGCTGAGTCACATTTTAATGTTTGAAACAAATTATGAGCTGGAAAGAAAACTGCTTCATGTCACAGACGAACTACGACGCTCACGAAAGGAGTGAACGGAGAAGGGAACTAAAGGGTCATTTCAACCATCAAGTGTTCGCACTCGCATGAAGGTTTGGCACTCAAAAGACACTTTTCACGGGCTAAGTAGGAACTACTTTGACGCGTACGACCATTCGCTAAACCGCCCGCGCCGCCCCCCCCGCCCTTACCTTGATGCCGACGTTTGTGTTGAGCATGTCCACGCGTGCGCGCAGGTCCTTGTTGGAGCGTTTGCCCAGGAAGTCCTTGACAAACTTGTTTGCGTATTTGAGGTTGTCCCCGCAGCCTCCCCACTGCCACGCCTTGCGGTTCTCCAAGTGCGGAGCCTCGTCGCAGGTGCAACGCTCCATGCGTCCAGCGCTGCAGGCCTTGGCCATCGCGTGGGTAAGGCCGGCCGACGAGATGGCGTACAAGAAGGCCGTCTCTTTAAACCCTGGGAAAAGCATGTTGGAGATTGACAAATGAGAGGTGGGAAAACCGTTCTCATCCGTGTGCAACACGGGGGAGATTATCCCGCCATATTAATGCTTGACGAAAAGGGAGGAGAAACCCGTACCTCTCTTTAGTATGTTGGCTCGGTGGCGCCCTTCTAAGGTGCAGTTCCACCTCTCAAAGCGGAATTGGTACTGGCATTCTAGGGCGCTCATGGTGATGGCCTCCCGCAAGGTCTCCGCCACGCCCGGGTCGCGTCTGCACATCCTGCGCTGCTTCTTTTCCAGTTTGAGCCGGTCGCACAGCTTGTAGTGGGCCCTGCCCACGTTCTCCTCCGGCAGAGAGTTCAGTGGCAGGATGGACAGCGGTTCATTACCCGTCAGCCTGCACGGATAAGACCACAGGCGCACTCGGGTCAGTCAAAACGCCGCACGGACGGGTGGGTTCGCCTCGATAGATGCTCCCATCAAAGTGCAGGATTGGTGACCCCCCCCCGCACCCCTGGACAAACAGCAAGATGGCAAAGATATGCTGCATAAACAGCAAAGGAAGCACAGCTCGGGCATGCAGTGCTCAAAAGGTTTGGTTAATGTTCAAATGAATTGAGCTGTTCGGTGGTTAATGTTCAGGGGAATTCAACATTTGCTGGAGATAGAGATCGGCCCCCCGGCGCTGGCGCGTCACTGTACAGTGCAAATTCTCCACAGAGGCGGAAGAGTTCTTTCTTTTCGCAAGAGGCGCAGCGACAGCGGCGACGATTTAAGATTGAGGATGTAATCTGCAGAACTAGTAAAGAGCACACCTGGTGTGGCCTCACGCTTTAAACAATGGAGTGAATTTTATAGTCAAACCACATGCATCGGAGACCGTGGCTCGGTTTTAATATTTATACGGCGTCCTGACGGGAGGGAGCCACTGACATGCGCCGCTTTACGTTCAAACGTAAGCACGCGGCAGAATTTACACAAAAGTCCCGGGGCCTTCAGGACCTCGAAGCCGTGATCCATCTGAAATACAACAAGCAGAAGTTTCGGGTTCTAAACACGGCACGGAGAACATGTGGTGCGCTCGCGCTCCTTTTCGTCAGTTTATTTAAGGGGAGCGCGTATAAAAACACACAAAGCGAGGACTGCCACATGGCTGGCAAAAAAAAAACCCGACGGCCGGCGCTCTGAGGTCGTGATGAGGAGAGCAGAGCATTACTTTCATAAACACACACAGGGGACATGACTGTCGGCCTGTGACCATTTTGGTCACACCAACTTAAAGGATTGGCACCCGTGGTTGTTCATTATGTGGAATTTCTGGCCTGCTTTACACCCTCAAAGTGAAACTGGAGAATAACTGGATTTACGAAACTCACAAAACCACATGTCCTCTGGCCAAAGTGCTTTCGGGGATGGACATGGGACATATGAGGGACTCTTTTGTGCACTGACTGACACTCCTCCCAGCGAGGCCCCTAAAAAAAATGCAGGATTCCAACTTCTTCTTTTTTTTAAAGATAAAAAGAAGTGTTCCAGATGAACGGAACAGGTACAGAACATAACGGATGTCACAGTGTTATTAACGCCGCATTAATCCCTTCTTGGATGTAAAAAGTGGACCAAATGACTGTAACCACAGCAAAGCTTGTTGGATTCAGCCGTGCGAAAGGACCTTTCCGTAAAGGGCGCGGAGCACCTGCTGCACGTCTCCGCTGGCTTCGTTAACACGGAGCGGAAGTGTTGATCGCTGATCCTCATTACTTACACGATCGTTTTTCACGGAAGACTCTGACATCACTCACGATCACTTAGAGAGTCACAGGATCTCCTCAACAAGAGATTTGTTTTAATGAGCCCAATAACTCACCGAAATGTTTCCCCTCGACTCGGAGTATCATACCGATGGACTTAATAGTTCCCATGTGCTACGCGTTATTGTCTCTGCGACGGGCCCGGGTTGAAAATCCAGGCAGTGAAATCAAAAAGGAGGGTTGAGGATTTGCCTTCGGATCGGGTCAAACGTGTGTTTGCCTTTCCTCAACTTGTCTGACAGCTATAGATTTTCCATTGGAAACCTGGCAAGTTGGGTCTTGACCGAGATCGCTCTCCCAACACACTTTAGACAGTGAAAATATCCACGGTTTGAGGTGAACAGAGCCAGGAGCATACACAATGCAAGAGAACTGTCCCACTGGGAATAACATCTTCCTCATATTTTGAGTACACTACGCTAACCGTGCCAAGGAAACCCGTCCAAAGTGCCAGAACCAACAAGTCCAGCCGACCCGGTTCCGTTACCTGTGGCTGACAACCGTTCCGCTGCATTTCTATAGCTGGCGGGGCCGGGATTGAATGATGGCGCCACGTGGAGCACCTAAGACCGTTTGAAAAAACAGTGAAAAAAAAAAAGAATCCTGTGAATGTGACGTATTTCATACCGACACCAGGGTGCAGTTCACTACTCCACGTGCCTGCGACTTAGAAGATAAGCAAATACGCATTGGAATTTTGCACAATAAGTGTCTCAGCAGAGCCCTCCGACCGACGAAACGTGGCTCTCGATTGACTCGACGTCACCAACGTGACGTGCGCGTTCCTCGTTGAGGCGCTCACGGTTATCAGCGTCAGATCTCCCCAAAAGCCCGAATGCCTGCCAAGAACAAGAGAGCGTTAGAGTGACAGGCCTGTCTGAGACAGACAGATGGTCTGAGCGGGAGCTGGAGGGAGGCCAAAGATGACACCCATCTCAGCGCTACTGTCCCTGCGGCTTTTTTTTTTTTTTTTCTCCTTTCTAAATTATTCATAGGAAGGGATATTTAGAGGTCGTTAGAGGGGGAGAAACGTTTCACGTGTGCAGAGCTACTGCCGGGCGGGGGTGTGGGGCGGGTCGTGCGTATTTGGACTGCAGGAAATAGTCAAATGGTATCGCAGATGTAAAGTGATCGCAGTTCTTTCCGTCTAAGTATCGTATTTTACTGGATGCACTTTTTGCATATTAGAAGAATGAACTCATTCAAATCAATCAAAGGAAAAAGATCCTCAGAAAACAGTCCGGTGGCTGAATCACAAAAATTCACGACAAATCTGGATATGAAATATTTTACTAAATGTAGATCATTCTTGTCGTTATTCAGTTTAAAGTTTTCTACCCAATTTAATTAAGCCATTACCCATTAAATCGTTGTCTCTTCCCATTAACAAAACGTCATATAAAGGGGATCCTAGAGTTACAAGACGCATTTGCTTACCACGGCGCATGTTTAAACAGTGAGCGAAGCGCTGGGACCCACACAAGAATATGCAGGTTTTCACATCGCGAACCCCTTTTCTTGTTCGTGTTTTTGTTTGAGGCGTTGTCACAGCAACACCAATCACACACGGAATATAACGCCAACATACAGAACTCCTTATTATCCAACGCGAGGTTGGATGCTCGCTGCTGTTTGCTCAGCTTTGCTCTTTCCATCTACACCCTCGCTGACCGGCTCTCACGCCGCTGCTCCTCCTGCACCGCCTCTCGCTTAGTAACGCCGCGGTTTGTTGAGTCCTTTCTCCCTCCACCCGTCAGCACCTCCCATTGCCCTTGACATTTTCACTTCATGTACATTTTTGCAGCCGTCGGGTGAAAACGGCTCCTCTCACGCCTCGAGGAAATCATTGACTAGCACTGAACTCGCCATCGTTCAGTGGCCCCCCCCTCTGGCTTTTACGCTACGGGCCTGGAAGTGACCCTCAGCTGGTGATCCAGCGCCTTCTTCACCGGGTCGGTATGTAAGTAGCTGAAGGAGGCGGAATAATACCTGAACTCTACGACGGTGGGAAAACACATTATTTCTCCTAACTTAGCGTTGTGGGCCGGGTCGAATGTCTCGCTCTGTGTTTGGGTTACAAACACACATGGCTTTGTAGCGGCTGGTGTTATTCGTGTGCTCCATATGTAAACAAGCCGGTCCATGTGTTATAGATTAAACTCTGTGGGCTGAAGCACAAACAGCAAACGTTACAAATGTCCAATGCTCATCATCGATGTGAACATTTGCTGCTCTTTTTTATATTATTATTATTATTATTATGTAAAGTATCTCTAGGCTTTGGATTCTATCCAACTATAGAAAAAACATAAATGCCCCCGTAGGCAGCGGGAACTTTTCCTAAACAACTCCTCACCTAAGACGCATTCGAGTGTTGATTGGTAATACAACATAATCACAGCTTCAGCATTAAACAAGATTATATATTAGACCCTTTTGGCTTATCACAGGGAAACAAAAGAAACTGACGTACAGAAACGGCTGAGGTCCTTTTTAAAATGGTGTCACCTTTACCTTCGTTGTCCAAGCGAGAGTACTGAGCTTATTATTGAAGTGTAAAATGTTCTTATCAAAGCGGTTTTAATGTGTTTAATGTTTTTTTGGAGCCAATACTTCATTGATTTTCCACCCAAAGGTTCCGCATCGGTCGGGCTGGAGTAGCTGCTGTTTGGATCAGCACACATTCCCGTTTCATAATGCCAATACTTACAATCCTTTCAAGATCAATAGATTTCAAAGAGCGGGTTTCTTAGTGGTGCTTTTAACTGCTGCATGTTACCAAAGCAAACACATCCTGGTACAGTGTGTTCTTTAAAATGTGGATTTAAGCGATTGTCTGTTTATCATCTTCACTCCTCAAATAGCTGCCGGCTTCGCTTAGTTGTCATACAACGTCACACGCGTGTGCATGTGCACATGTACACAGGCACTTACTACCTTAAGTCAACACCGGCAGGAGTTGATCGTGGCTGAACGCGCCCGGGCAGAAAAAGCACCAAAGCCGCAGCTCCTCCATCAGCCGGGGACCTGCAGGTTGTGTGGTCTGGTGTCTCCTACATCACAATTTACCCCCCCTCTCCTCCCCTTCTCCTCCCCCTCCTCCTCCCCCTTTTCTTCCAAACTTCCCCTATTCCCACCGGCCGACCCCTCTAAACGAATGCCAATCATTCCGCCCAGCTGTTGGCTCAAAACAAAGCCTCCTGTAGACACAACCACCCTCGTCTGAGACCGTACTCCCCCCCCCTACCCCCCCCCCACCCTCAGGAGGATGACAGACATGAACATGTGTCCCGGGACAGTTCAGCTCTCATGGACACAAACCACCGTAGTCACCTGATGGCAATCCGTACCTTTCTTTCTTAAAGCTCTGCTGATTTCCTCTTCTCTCGTTTTCTTTTTCCCTCCAACCTCCAGCGTTTAAATATGCTCTTTTTTTGGAGGGGACGGAGGGTGGGGAGTGGGGAGTTGGGGGGGGTTTGCTTTTCTCAGAAATGTTGGATGAACTTCAGACCACCCTGCCCGAGTCCCATCACGCCAGGCCATGCCAGAGGTTGTAGGAATGTGAGTTTGTGTGGTGTTTTCCCTC